TTACAGTTAAAGATATAATCAGTGCTATAATTGATCCACNTATAATATAAGATATATCTTACTGACAAGGTTTTTGTAAGTATGTTTTTATTTTTATTCTTTTGTGTTTTACTACAAATCGTTTTTATTGGTTCACAAATTTTTTTATACTTCATTTCAACTATGTACTAATGGTTTAATTTAATTGACGTACCATATGTATACATTATACCACCGTGGTTTAATACATTATTATTGTTATTATCAGAATGCTGGTATTAGCACATAAGTGAACCTCTCAATTGATATAAAAACTAAAAATAACTGTCGAGTGGTAGAGATAATCTAAGAAATTCGTTCCAAAAACCTTCATAACATCTTCAGTGTTTTATTTTTCGAGTATATGCTTTCAGATTCATTCCTCCATATACATTTCTAAATGTAGAATTTTATTCTCAATAATAAAGCAGGCCAGCCCACTCATTCGCAAGGACACATTTTCGACGTCATGGAAATATTGACGCATCTGTCTGAAACACACGAAGTTTCTTTCCAATATATTCGAGAAACTGGATCCCAACCCCCAACCCATCCAGTCGGCTTTTTGAACCACCATTCAATATCTTTCTGTTTTACGAGATCTGTTTTAATGTCATCGGCAAGCTGAAAGTCTTAATATAAGGCAATTACAAATTCCCCAGTTATTATCAACTAGTTATTGCCCGTGGCTTCCCCCGCGTAGAATTTGGTTTGTAACATAAAGTTACAATATTTTTTTTTAACCAAAAACTTCAGGTTTTCAACATCAAAACTAATTTATATTTTTACTTTAAAAATATGCCAACTGCACTAAATAATGAATAGCTTCGAGAATCTAATTGTATTATCTGTAAAGAAATTCGCAAAACTAACAAAACCGTCAACGACGTCTCCCCTTACGCGTCTGCCCGCGATCGGGTCGCGTTCTCGGCGATGACGCTTCATTGCTTAAAACGCACTTCCATCCCCGCGCATAGTCCCCCGTCGTCTTACAGTTGACGCGACGCGCAATGGTTTACTGCGTTGCATGACGTTAATCTTATCGTGATAACTTTTAAACGATTCGTTCCAATTACTCAATGTAGAAGACAAGAATTTATCTATATTGAATACTCAAAACGACCATTGAATCAATTTTTATGACAATGAAGTCCACGAAAACTGCTTAGGTACATTTTTAAGAAATCCACTGGGTTGAGTAATTTTTGTTTGTCGTTATATAAAAAAGAAACTATATTGAATTTCAAAATATCGTTTCTATTCAACTACAGATTATAAAAAATGGTGCTAGGACAAAAAACGGACTTTTGGGCTGTGATCACTTGATCACGATCTTATTTTTTAAGAAAAATTAATTTCAAAGTGATTTATTGTGAATCCGAACCGAGCTACAAACGTAGCGGTAGGATGTTCATTAGTTCTATTCAGGAGAAACCTGCACTTCAGAACACATTTTATTTATTTATTTGATAATAGGAAATTCTAATATAAATACAGGTCCAATAAGGTGAAAATGGAATATAAAAAATATTAAAACAGTATAAAAATTCTTCTAACAATAAAATACGTTCAAATAATATATAAATACAAGAAGCTAAACATAGAAATGTGTTCCTGAGAATATTGTCCCATAACGTAGAACAAATCAGGAGTGTTCAGAATAGTTTGTTCCATATTACAATTATACTACAGGGCATAAAAACAATTATTCGAGTGGGTAGGTAATGAAATATTTAACATATCACAATGTAACACGATGTAACACAATGTAAACAGAACAGATAAAAGCTCGAACCAATAAGACAATTCGATGATGTGAAACATAAAAAATAAAAAAAATTTAGAAAATTCATAGAGTACGTGATGTAATATATATTTTCAACTGAGCCTTGAATGAATATAAAGTAACAGAATCTTTAGTATGGCATGGTAATTGATTGAAATCATTCAATCCTCTGAAAAACAACGATTTCATAGATTGCTTTGTTCTTGTCCTGGAAATGTGGAATTGATTGGTGGTTCTTGTGTTGTAGTCATAAATTTGATTATTGTACGTAATGAAGGATTGAAATATTTTGGTAACAAATTTCTGGTTATTTTATAAGATAAAAAAGGACACAGAGAAAAATATTATTAATAAAAGTTGGTGAATCTGAAAACATGTAAAACTGTGGTTGCAGATGATTTTAAGAATCCTCCAGGTTTTTTCGGTAAATCGCCTTGGTTAAAGAATAGACGAATCTATTCTTGATAACTCATTGGTTCTTTCATAAACGATATACTATCCAGTTTCGTCCCTAAATTTTTGGGGCATTTTGACTTACTAACGAAATGAAGCAGGAAAACGGTTTAGCAGTTGTGTGCGACAGGCCTTACCGGTCCGGCTCAAACGCATCATGTAACACATACCTTGAAAAATTGATGTCAGAATGTGTACTTGGCGTTATGTAAATTAGTGATTGAACTTGGAAAATAGTTAGTTATTGTTAGATGCCGAGATGAAACAGACGGCTGCTCACGTGGGAGAGAATAATAGATGAACCTGCCCTAATAGCCTAGAGATAAAGGCAGATGTTCGAGATGCCAGGGAAGGCGGAAAACATGTCACATATAATTATTCTGAAGGATGTGTAATCAACATAATAGACGTATTTGTTATCCTTTCCATTTCAGTTTGAACTCTGTGTACAGTTTACTCTCTCTATCTACTTTTTGGCTTTTACTTTCGCGAGACTCGTTGTTCTTGTTTAGTTTTGATAAGTCATTGCATTATAGTTAGAGTATTATTTAAAAAAAATGCTTCAAAGTTTTTTTAACATTATTGTCAGGTTGAAAATCTTCATTGTAGCGAATCGAAGATGTATTCTTGATATTTGATTTCCATGAAACTAACAGCTGTCAATTTCGAAAATATTTCTAAGGTGAAAAAAAAATTATGGTTCAATGACATTTTCAATTCAAGCTGTTGGAATTTAGAACCGGTTGTATCGCAGCATTATCCTTTTTTATGATAACGTTAAAATCACTCAACAAATTACCAGCCATTTGTTTCGAATTACGAGTAAAATAGTGTGATTTGAAAAATATTACATTCACAGGCAATGTACCAGAAAAAAGTAACCACTTGAAATAACTAATAAGGTTATAATTTTTTAAAAATTTACTCGAAACTAAATAACTCTATTTCTCTAATTCCACACAAAAGAAATGGGGTTCCCAGTAGCAATAATACAATTTATTGGCGAAAAACAACTTTTTTTCGCTTTCATTTAGTATACAATGACCATGTCATCGATGATATGAGTAGATTTAACTTGAAAAACGATGATATGAGTAGATTTAACTTGAAAAAGTCGTAAGTTCATGAATGAATTAAGTGCTTCTTCTTGTAATAATCGCCAGGATGACGGTGTTCTATGTTAGTGAAATTTCATCTCTCTCCTGTGTAGCAATCCTGTGAATTATATCTGATTCAACTCCATAACGATTGTTTGGAGTACAAATTGAATTTAATTCAACGCTCATATAAAAATAATTGTTTTGGAACTATTTTTTCTTTAGTGTAATTCAATGTTTATATAAAAGTAGCTGTTTCGAGGGGGCTTTTCCTTCCAGTTTGTGTCTGGAAGTTACTTCCACCATTTTTTTTGTATAAAGATGGATTTTATGATATTTGAATTGATGAGATTAATTTCATAAAAAGCTCAGATATTTTCGACATTTTTCATCGGTAAAGAAATCATCAGTAAAAAAAATGATACTTAAGAAGATAATTTGTCGTCTCTTGAATATGTGACACATAACATGTTACTTTCGCCCTCTGTCCGAAGAGCCTTTTTTATCTGTCAATGGTGATAATAACATAACGTGAAAACAGTACGAATGAAAACAGAATACAAAAAATAGTAATTATTGATTGTTGACGAATCTGTTTCACTCCACTTCGTAACGTAGAAGAACAATGCTGAATCATTCTTTTTTGGCAATAAAGAAAGATGAGACACTTTCTAGGAAGCTCCCATACATAAAAAGACCATTATTAATCAAGACCACTTCTCTCATGGTGGGGTAAGTAACCATAGGGTCCTAGAATCATATTTATAGTGAAGAGCCAAATTTTCTGCTTTTCGTAGCAAGCTTGTATAATCGGGAAGATCTTATTCAACCAAGGATTCTCATGCTCAGAAAAATGCCCAATTGTGGGCATTTTTCTTTACAGTTCCTCGACCATTCATGGTAATTGAATGTACCTCATTCATTACTACAAAAATAGAGTCCGAGTAGCAATAACTTTGCTCTTCTCTGACAGATTGGTAGAGGAGAACATGGAAAAATTATATTTCGATGGCAGGCTTTTTCATTTTAACACCTTCAAGGAATTTTGTAGATCCTTTTCTAAAATCATCCGAATAAAACAGATGAATGACCTTATATTTGAAAACTCGAACTAAAATTGTAAAAAAAATCACTAGTTTACGAAGAGTCCATATCATTTTTCAGTGGTCGACCAAATGAAATGACCGTACTAAAAATGGTAGAAACAATTTATAAAATGTTTCGGACGACTGTCAGATGAAAGTCACATGTAAACATGTACGCATTTCATAGAGTGGTGAATACATGAAGAAGCACTTCAACGGAAAAAACATCATGAGTAAGAAGAAGAAACAAAAGATTGAAAGGGGAAAATCGTTCTAGAAAAAAAAACAGTTTAATTAGCTGGAAAGGCCGTTTCGTTGATTTTTCTTATATACATGTTGCTGACGAGGGGACAACAATATAAGGACGTATTATGTCTCTAACTGTATGTCAAGGCGCTTGGAAGGACTTTGGAGCAAGGTTCAGATTGGTATAGTACATCAAAACATAAGACCCCGTTTTCTCTTGGATCAAATAAGTGTCATAAATACTTCTGACGCTTGACGATTGTTAATGAAAGTTTTCTGAGCTGCTTCTTTAGATAACTGTTAAAAAAAACCAACCTGGTACTTGAGGCGGCGCTCCGATCGCTTTCCTCGTCGGAAGACAGGTCTGGATCGGATCCCGAACACCAGCTGTCTTCGGAACTTCTTTGGGATATGGTGTGTTGCAAGGTTCGAGTGTGAGCAAGCGGCGGAGCCACTCGGTGTTCACATGTTGGTTCTTCCCAATTGCCGGAACGGAGACGAGGTTCATCTGAAACAAATAACAGAATTTGAAAATACAAGCCTGATTAATTTATTGTTTCGTTACGACAAAAATATGAAACGAGTTACAGAATCCTGATAATTTAATACCCCCATTCATATCTTGGTATTCTAGAGAGAAATTTATTAGTTTTTTTTAAATATCACTGAGGCGAACCAGAAAGGCATATATAGAAATATCTGTCAAGTATTTTTTCCTTTTTGTTGACAGACTGCTCAAATTCATATTAAAAAAAAGGCAAGAAAAATCTTCCGTATGACTATATAGGAATATCCAAATTGTGTGTCCACCTTTGCCTACCTTTGTTAATATTAAAGATACGGAATCGGTTCAATTGACAAAATAGTAGAGCTTTCTATACGCATTAAAGTTTTGGAGTTTTCTTACAAATGTATTCCCCCTTCTATTTTATTTTTTCTGAAACTACATAAACCCACGATGTTTAATAAAATAAATAATTAGATTAAATCGAGATGTTATCAGACGAAGCTTTTCAAGAGAAATGAAAATCATAAAGCACATAGCATATAACAACCATATTCCCGCCAACTTAATTGAAAAACTGATCTTCACCAAGAACCAAAAATTGATCAGGAACGAGCTATACCTAAATCATGAAGAACCTAAAGAAGCTAAAAAATATGCTCGCATAAGTTATTCGGGAAAGCTCTCCAAAAACATGAAGAACTATTTTTCAAAACTCAACATAATTACATCATTTACTAATAAGAATACTTTAGGGAACATGTTATTCAACGTAAAACCCAAAAGGGATAAGTGGAGGTCAAATCTGATGTTTCTTGTAATAGTTTGTTTCCCTCGAAACCAAACTTGAGATGTAGATTCTTATGTACATTGAAACATACTCTCTGTGTTTAAATATTCAAATGCATCTGAATCTTATTCAGTGGTATCCCTTTTTCGCATTGTTTCCATGGCTACTGGAATCACTACACTGGAAAAAGTCTGCGTTGTTATCACACACGTTATTACTATCAGAACAACTTGTTCAAGGACGTCACATTTTAAACAGATAACAAAAATTTCAAGTATTTATAACTGCACCAATATCGAATTTCAACATTCAAATCGCGTTAAGTTCCTGAACTGAACGCGACGGCCATAACATTCCCAGATTTCTATTCGTCACCGTAACATGACTTCAAATTTAATTTTATTACTCTTCTGCCAATCATAAAACTCGGTTAGTAAAAATTTTCCAATACGAACCGCCGAGTCTACAGTCCACGTGGTGGCCTTCGAGAGTGCCGGCAACTTTAAGAGTGCACAATATCGTTTACTTCGACTATACTTGTTTTGTTATTGTATTAGTTACTTGAAAATTGTCTAATAAACCAAAACCGGTCGTAACAGATAATAAACTAAGTAGGTATTAGACAAAAGTTATTCTATTTATTTTATATTCAAATTGAGATGTATTTGATCCATATCCATAATATAATTATTATTTGAGTGGACATTTCGGGATTTACTAGTCTGGATACTCAAGGAATTTTTGTTAGTGAAGGTTAGTAATCGATAAACTTATAAAAAGACTGGAATTTCTAAAGGCGCCGTTGCAGTTATTTGCTACCCACTAGCGATGCTTTGCTAGTGGCTCCCAAGATGCTTTTCACGTCTGGATTCCTAGCCGGTCAAATTTTTGAGGATTCGTCAAAATCTAATCCGATACCCAGAACCGTGCCAAAAATACCCAAACCTCTTGAATTCATGGGAGAAAAAATGATAAAAGTTTTTGCATGTCGCACAAATGTACTGAAAGGGTGCGAAATTACAATTTTGTTCATTGATTGGATCAATTAATTCAAAAATAAATTCAGTGTCATATCGGAGTTTTATCAAAAGTAACATTACAAGACCCATTTTCTAACGAAAACTATGAAAGAAACCAGATATAGTCTAAGCTATAATATTTATTTCTGATTTATTCATCTGAAAGAATTTTTAGGTCGAGTGGTATTTATAAAGATTACTTCCTGGAACATTCTCAGTTGAATTCATCCATGTAAGAACAAAATATAAATTGTCAAATCACGTCTCGTTTATTACCTGAATAACGAGAAATTTCAAAACGAAAATTTGTTCAAAAGTATAATTACTGAAGACACAATGTTCTGATATATAAAAACAGTGCCTTGACATCAGACCGCGAAGCCAGCACCGACTCACCAGACTTACTTGACAGGGGTAGATGAATTTCTGAGTAGTAATAGGTAGAGACTAAACTAAGGACGAAAATTGGGTGTCAAGATTTAAAATTCAGCAACTGAAAAAATGAAATTTGGGTAATAACTATTTTTTCGCTGTTTTGGCACATCGATGAAATTAAAACTGTTTAGAAAAAAATAATTTCAGTTCGATTATTGGATGATACGGATGCTGTGGAGACCACTAGCCCACTGAATACGGTTTGGGGCAATACAAAGAAAACAATGATGCTCGTAAAGCAAAGAAAATTGTTTTCATTAGAACCCAAATTAAGAAGCTTCCAGCAGAGGCAGACAATGAAGTTTACAAGAAATTACCTTTAAACAGCTAAAGCTGAACAGTTTATACAACTTTCCTTAACTTACCTTACTATGTTATCATGAAGAATAGAGAAATTAAACTTTCTATGTTTTTACCACTTTTATTTGCAACTAATGTTACTGCAATTTCGTCTTATACGGACATTTTATTTATGTATGAGTATACATGACTTTATTATATAAGTTTGAAAATGCCCGTATAGGACGAAACTGCAGTAACATTAGTTACAAATAAAACTGGTAGAAAACATAGAAAGTTTCATTTTTCTTTTCTTCATTATGATTTCCTACCATCAATTAACTGTGTTATCTGTTGCGTGCGAAAGAGAAATGATCAATATGTGTATTGATTGTATAAAGTACGGTTGAATTATACCAAAACAAATATTGAGCGACTCCTCATGGAGGAGATTTGAATCATATATTTCAAATGAAGAAATACATGTAAAGTGAGTTCGAATTATATCAAAGAGGTTACGTACAGTGCCATCTGCCCGCGAATAGCTCAAGCAATAGTGTCGATGATTCTGTTAAATACAGATCCCGAGCTTGAGAGTTACAAACAAACATACATACATACATACATACTTACATACAGGTGAAGATAATAAAAGCGTGTTGAAAGTAGAACCTAAGTTCAATGTATATGAAAAAAAAAGTTTTGACATGATATTCAAAAATTCGTATGGTACGATCAAACAAAAAAATTAAAAATATATACAGCGTCCATTCTTCTAGCTAGGCATTTATCCTTGTTTGATGTTTCTTATGTTATTGAGTTCAGTTTGAAAATACAGATCTGACATTGTAAGTGTTCCCAACCTAGATGGTTCTCAATAGGATAGAGGTCCGGGTTGCATGACGGCCAGTTCAGGAAGAGAAGCATTGTCGAAATATACCTTATTCAATTACCGTACCAAATATTGTGGAATGTTCTTTGTACTTATTGTCATTTCATTTTCAATAAAAAAAATTTCATGTTGTATGTAGCTTGAAAATTCCTGAAGATAATGTGAATAAATAGTATGGTTTAATATATTCCACAAGTATTGCAAAGTAATCCCAGGTTACAGTAGTCATTTCAGATTTCTATGCGATTACTGAATAAATTAAGTTTATTTACTTCTTTTTCTCAAAATATTATTTTTTGACCTCTCACATTCACAGAAGATACGTTTTATCCTGAAATATTCTTTACTAGCTAAAAAATAAGTACCTTCCATTTACTATTTTTGGTGCTATATCTACACAGATGATTCTTCCGATCGGAATGTCTGCAGCGAAATTCCTGTTCACTCATTTGAATCTTCTCAGGCTTCAATGTTCCGACCCAATCTCACGTTTTCTTCTTTCTTCGCACACAATTCTAAACAATGCTCGCCTCAAGAATGGACCGAAATGAAAGTATGTACGACTATGATTCACGAATCACGAACTTGTGAGCCCGACACCAGTACATTCACATAGCGGGAATGTTAACTATGCCATTTTGTATCGGTCGGTCATGCGGCTTTTTAGTCAAGTCAAAAGAGAACAATTGATAATACTTCACATAGAGCTCAAAATTGGTGCGGGTCCTATATTGACTGTTACAAACAAAATGTCTTTATTATCTTCAAACACATTTCAAGCAATTTAATCAGGTACAATTTAATTATTACACGAAGATAAAAGGCAAAGTTCGATTTACATGATGACAAGTCATCATTCAACTGCTCATCCACTTATGTCAAAAATGCACTTTTTTCGTTTTTGTATAAATAAGTCAGATATGTCTCAATTTCAACTTGTACCAGCCGGATTTCTTAAATAATTTTTTTTCTCGAATGTTTCGTTTCCAACCAATACAGTCCTTTTAGCTACAATGAAAAAATATACAACATAATTTTTACATTCATAATTGAAACTTAAATATCAATATAAAACGTAGTAACTCGATTCATTTCAAAATTTCTGTGGTAAAATAAACACCGGTTTGATGCCGGGGGGTTATAAAAAAATAGTCAGATGGAAGTTGTAGATCATGTAATTTTCAATACAATCTGTTCTTATATTTTTTCCTACCAATCAGCATTTCTAAGATATTGCCATTTTGAAAGATAAAGAAGACATACTGTTACTCTTATGAGATACTATGCGATCTTTCAATAATCTAGAAGATTGACCCATGTATTCTTCATCAAAACTTTGGCTATGGTTTTCCATGCAGCCATATAGATACAGCTACAAACCTTACAATTGCAAAATATGAACTTCAGAAAATTTTCTTGATCCCTAGTCTTCCGAGTCCAGATAATTGACCACTCACACTTGAACTTGTAGCGTAAGCTAAATTCCGCCAATATTAATGAAGACCGTGGGGTAAGTCATCATTAGATCAGAGAGTCATGTACCCTGAGCAAGCGCAGTGAGCCAAGAATGATAAGCCTTCTGCATTTA